TAGTCTTGGTCACGCTCCGATCGATGTTGAAATCCAATGAACTCAGGACCGCCCACTGCAAACTGCTATTCGAGTTTCAGTTCGGTCAATCATAGGCAGGCAGGTTTCAACGCGACTTTTTCGGTACCCTCCAAGTAGACTGTGCACGGACCGCGCATAGAACAGAAAGTCGAACTTCCTTCGGAAATCTCGGAATACTCCACCGGAGTGCCGTGAAGGATCGTCTTCGCTTTTGAAGTAGTGGCTGGACGGAGATGTTTCCGCTCGGTTCTTTCCCTTGATTTTTTTTAAAAAAAGTCGCCTCAATTTACTATTGCAAGAAAACGCGCTTATAACTTATAACTTTTGCGACTATGCGCAAGACTTTGTTTACAATGAATGTATACGTAAATATTTCATAAACCGTAACTCGTACATATTCGTATCGTTTCCGTAAATTTACTTTGCTATTTACAAAAACCATATATCATACTACATAGTAGTCTATTCTTTGATCGTACGTAACTTTGAACCATTTTCAAGTTTTGCGACTATGCGAAAGACTTCCATATCGCTGACGTATACGTAAAAATTACGTTCATTATAAACGCCTTCGTATGTTTCTATACAGTTCAGCTTTGCGAAATTTTTCAGTTTTATGTATTTCTTACGTATACGTTCATTGTAAACAAGCACTTACAATGGAAGCCAAAATGTGTAGTTTAGAGAATTGTATGTTGCAAGCGAGATGAGATAATCACGACATATGCCAGTAAAGTGATCATGATCATGTACTACATATTACAAAGATGAACTACTTTAGTGCCGAAATGAATGTATAAATATTTTTAAAATGGACGACACATTCGTTCTTGATAACATTATCTTATTGATTTTCGCGTAGTAAGTTTTAGCCATTCAGTATTACCTAATTTTTTACGAATCAAAGAATGCAGCACACATGCTTCAAATTGTAATGTGATCGAAATGCCAATAAGAGGGCTTATGGAAACATTCGCGAAGTGATTTATAACGCTTCCTCCACAACTGAAAGCCTGCCCACATTCCATACAGATATTTTAGCGCATCGAATTTGCAGTGACAGTTAATTGCTTTTCAAATGGGAAACAAGTATTCATTTGCACATACCATAAAAAATTTGAATGGCTATATAGTATTTTAAATTTAAAATTAATTACGTTTGTAACCATTCACGCCATAGAAATTCCACACTATTTGTTAAATTATGTTCAATTCTATAGTTATTACTTCGCTTACGTTTACTTTCTTCTTCTTATCCCGTTTTTTACACCATTTCCCAAATTTAAGGTTTCGTATCAACTTTAATGAACCACTTCGTCCGAACTGTATGAGCATAGTGACACCCCGGCTTTGGTTTTCAATATGTCTCCACCCTAAATATTCTAGTACGTTTTGTACTACACGCCAAATTGTTTGTTACTGCATTGTGTTTCACTGAAGCGTATAAATTACGTTTTCCGTAGGTATCGCAAACAGCAACTTTTCTCTCTACGTACCTTTTCAGTGATAAAGGAAATCCCCAAAACTCTAATAACGCTTAAAGTGTTCTCGGTTTTAAAGAATTTATGATAAATCATAAGCTGTCTATTTATAAAACTGCCAACAACGTAAAGTTTTCCGTAAGCTTAGGCGATTAAGTTCGTTTAAATTTATAACGAAAAGGTCTTACCAGAAAGTAAACCAATTTGAAATTCGCGAGGTGACCTTGAGCAACTGGTGACTACAGAATTAAATTAATAATTTCGAAACTCTGTAACATTTATTTGCCCATTAAAACTTATGTTGTATATAGCTGCATATGAATTTGATTTTAATTTAACTAATTATGTGGAAACTGAGGCGATCGAAATAATGAAAATCGAAATAAATAAGTGGAATAATATGCTGGAACAGTTCATTTTCGCATTCACATCTTGGTTATGTTTGTTTTACAGTCGCTGCTTTAGTTGGTTGAGATTCGCTTGCATACTGAAAGTGTCACTAACGCCATCTCTCGGTAGATACTATCGCGCCAGCACGTGCAAACACATTAATTTTTAATTCCTCTTCCGGTATTCGTTGTTCGTTCGACACGCACAAATAAAGCAGTTACGTGGGTGTTGAATAAGATTTCCATGAGGTGAATTGCAACTGGCGATTCATCAGTTGGTGTAACCTCGCTGCATTGTCGAATTCGAGGCACACTTACCTCTTTTATGGAGTTTGTATTGGAAATTAAATTAAATTTTAGACCCAGTCTACGTTTCAAGTTTGAGTACTGTCTGGCTTAATTATAACCGCTGAGAATAAAGACCCCGATATATTAGCGACCATCTTGCGGTGCAGCTTACGGTAACCTTAAAGTTTGGGATTAGATAAGGAATTGGGTCACGCATATTACCGTGTTTTCAATTCAATTAACACAAATTAGTCATTATTTATCATTGTTTGAATACTTCTTCGTCAAGCAAATAACTAATTGGAATTTACTTACCATTTAACGTCATTGTTTTGTCAGACCTTTATTCTACTCTCTGCAAATATATGCTCGATTTTTTACGCGTTAATATTTCGAGGTACGCTGTCTTTCCCTCCGAAACAGTTGTACACGTAAACGTAAACGCTACTGAAGCGGCTTACAAGTAGATCCAAGGTCCTTCAGGCATTAGTCATTAGTTACCAAACCGTGTAGCTGGGATTTGTCGGTTCTTTGTTCGCCTGTTTCAGCCTAGAACGTTGAAACTGAGCTCATTTCTGGGGTCGGCGTTGAATACATTAAAAGTAAGACTTGTTTTTTTATGTTATTTGTCCTCTCAATATCGATGCGAATCTGTGCCCGTAATTTCCTTATTTGTGAATTAAATTATTACATTATTATTCGATCATTATTGAATTAGGGGATTTATTAATTAATCGAGGTATTTGAGTTTTAACGTAATCGTGTGGAATATATCGTATAAGAATATTTTGTATTGTGATGGGAAATTTAATTGATGATCGACCTAATTTACCGTAACCTCCACCACAAGATGGCCGCTGATATGTCGGAGCCTTGATAAGAAGTGAAACGACCTTGGAAATAAAACTTGAAGTTCGGGTGTGCACTTGAACCATCTAAAAATACTAATTAGACTACCCCCCTCTAAGCGTAACCTTAACAAACATCTTATTAATCATGGAGAGGGGTGTTAGTGAATAATTACTATAACCGGAACAATGGTTAAACTTCACCTGGTAGACACCTGCGGAATTGCGTTTAATTTCCAAATTTCTCCACTAACGGAGATACGTGCATCTCGAATCCACAATTCTTCAAAGTCACACAAAACGGATGAATCACCAGAAACAGTCAAGCTTTTACTGTAAACAGCTTGCAATTTACCACATGGCAATCTTTCCCAACACTCCTGTAACTGCTGTATCAGCTTGCCGAACCAAGAAAAATGCGGTAGGAGGAGAAAGTAAAACTAATGCGTCTTTAGGTTTGCGCACACTGGTGCGAAAGAACCTACCGAGAGATGGCGTTAGTGACACTTTAGGTATGCTAGCGAATCTCAAACAACTAAATCAGCGACTGTAAAACCAAAATAATCAACACGCGAATGAGGAAATAAACTGTTACACTGCAACTTATTCCCCCTTAGTCTTCGCTCTAAAGAAAATAACCATCAAAATGTTAAACCCCTTGTGTGTCTACAATGGGAATCACCTGTGCTTTACGATTAAAGATATTTTGGAGCCTCAACAGCATTAAAACTTTGGATAATTACCAGATTTAATTACAAACAAGCTTAAATACATTGCTGATACTTTATTTATAATTAATGTAATTAAAGTTGGATAAAATGATTTTAATAAAATAGCAAAATGCTTTTACCGTAATGGATAAAATTGTAAAAGAATTGCGTAACGTAATGACATTCGCCTAATTGCATTAATTCTTCTAGGGTTATAGTTAGTTGAATTGTGTAAATTGTGCAATATTTTGGAAGTTGCCGAGAGAAAACCAACCTATTAATTTTTCCCGATTCAACGACCTTTTGGAAATACGCTAGTAAAGCAGTTCGTAATTATGCTGAATGAACCGGGAATTTTGATGTTTTTATTACTCTAAACTAATAATCGGATTTTTTATTGTATTTGAATATCCAATTCATTATCGTGCCTTTAAGGATAGAAAGAATTTTTCATTAAAATAGAAAAGGGTACCCTTAAAGAATCGGTACCTTCACATTGATGAAATGTGTTTATATTTTCAATTGTACCCACCTAGAAACCTAGTACCTAAAAACGTATGGAATTGAGTACTAATTTTATGTTAAAATTAGGAATTGTGCTTTAAAAGATGAGGTTAAAAACTGTTATTGTTTAACAAGGGATTAAGCAAGATAAAGAGGTTACCATTTCGTTAGACTGTATAGGACTCCATAACATGATCTCGAGTTAATAAAGGTCCAATTAGTAAATATGTAAATGAAAGTAAAATCACCGACACAATCCTGCATCAAATTGAAAATAGTTTGACAATCAAAACAACACTGCCATCAGCTGTTTATAAATGTCACCCGTCAAGCTGGCAGTGACATACCCCCACCAAATGCCGTGCCAGTCGGTACCAGGCACGTGGACACACCCCACCATGAAAACTGGGTATAAAGGGGTGTGCATCGACGTGAAAAATTCAGTCTGCTTCTGCTGCTAATACATAAATAAAACACCTTTAGATGGGAAACTCCCATGTTACCGACGGAATTGTAAAAAGCGCCATCCCGTGTCAATAGGGGCAAGTAATAATTGAAAGCGGGAAATTCAAATCTTGTATTAATGTGTTTGAAATGAGGATTGAATGTAAATACACGAATTGTAATACCTTAAATGAACTTTATGTATCATTTAAAGTATCACAATTCATGTATTTACATTCAAGCACATTTATACAATATCTGAACAGTTTATAATCGACACTTGACTTTAACGTTGTCTATAATTAACAAAAAAAGTATTAGAAAGCGAATTTATTTTGCGTACTGTATACTTGCTTTACAAAATATAATGCTTTATACTTGAATTTGAGTAATTACGTTATAACTTGTACGATTACAACCGAGATTACAACTATACTAAAAGGTACTTACACTAAACACTACATCGACAAACAATATTTACAAAGTATTAGTACAACTATTTTTTATATTTACATTTCTGTAAATGTAGATTATGGGCATGCAATTTTATTGGATCTACTAGAGATAGATTAGATGTTAATTTTAAAAACCGTTCAAATTTTGTATCTTTTCCTGTTAAAATACGGTTAACTTGTTTGCACCAAAAGTACAGGATGCATCTTACTAAAAATGAAACAATGAGCTTTCCTAAATTAGGGTGAGATGGGCAATTGAAGCTATTAAAGTTCAAAGTGTGCATTAAATGTGTTAACAAAAAATCACTGAGTTTATCCTTAGCGCAGTGCCTAGGAATTATATATAAAGAGCGAGATAATACTTGCCCACAAATGAAAAATAAATAGCTTCCTGGCCTATACAATTTCGATCCTGGATATTGTCTGGCTTCTATCACTTCCATGGGAACATTCCCATCACTGTAACTTAGTTTATTGTTACAACTTTCACAGCCTTTAGTTTTTTTAATCATTTTTTTCCCTATGTACCCAGCAAAATACGCTACTGTGGAAGAAGCTACCGGACTCCTTTTATAGGCAATGGCGGAAACAGGCACCTCGACAGCAACTGCGGGTTCTAGTGGCTCAACACCAGGAAGGTCTTGATTTAGTAAAAATGATTTTAAGTTGTCTAGAACACCAGTGGTGAAATCTTCTTCACAGTTCGCTGATGGTGAATGCGAAGACATATAATTGTTGACTACCAGCGATTTAAAAGAAGCAATAAAATGGGGCACATTGGGAGAGACATTGCGACGTCCGTAGCTTCTTATCGCTGCAAAAAAGTTTTCAACACAATCTTGGTTAAACGCCCTGGGAAGAAAATATTCCATTCGTAGCACTAATTTGGAACGAAGGTAAAGAAAACCTTTCAAAGTTTTCACCAAATTCACCACCGATGGAACTTGCACTGATTTTTCATGATCACAAAATTTTAGCGATTGCAATAGACGAATTGCATCTGTCCAAGATAATTTATGGGGAGATGTAGACGTCACTCCTGCTTTAAATGGTTTACTGATTGGAGCAGATCTGCTGTTCCCATTAAGACTGTCAAATAAACTGTCCAGAAATAAAATTAAATCTGCTGTTTCTTCTGCTTCTCTTGGTAGTTTACAATCTGATTCAATATCTGTAACAAAAAAATAATAAATTTAACCATTGAAGCTATAATATTCATGATAATGTAAGAAATAACATATTTAATCAAAACTTTAAAACATTTCTAGGAAATGATGCACAAACAGATCGACTTGTACCTACATAATTCAAGATATTATTTAAAAGAATGTTAGTTACATTTGAGTTACTTACTCCACTGGGATATACGCTTCATAAGTGAGCCAACATTCCAGCTAAATACTTGCGTCATTAGTGACACTTTCATTTTATTCATATGCTTAGCATATATATGTGCATCCGTTAGTTTGACACACAGACGAGTGGGGTCCATGGTATCCAAGAGGTAAAACTTCTCAATGTGCTCCCATTTTGCAACTTTGATTACATCATTTTGGGTAAATCGTGCATTGTATTTCATCAAATTATTGCGGATCCCTTTAAATAAATGCGGCACATCGTACAATGGGACAACCTCCTGCTTCTTTATCAGAAATCCATGATATCGATTCTCTATGCCTTGTGTTTGTAAATATTCTGCAGTATCCCGTAATAGGCTATTTATTGCAGCTCTATTTGCAGCCCCTTGATCGCAAATTGTTGCGATTACTTCTACTCCAATTACTTGACACTCTTCAATTATTTTCTTAATCATGGTCTTCAATAGAACTGATTTAATAGGTCCAGAACTAAATGTAAATGCCAATGGTTGTTTCCACTATCGATAGAGGCCCTTCAACATGAAGACATTGGCATATGTAGCAATTCGAGGTGATCGTTGCTCACAATGTTCAAGTCCATCTACGCATTTCAGACTGGAATTGTACGTAACAGAGGGAGATATAGCCATTTCATCAAAGACCAAAGCAGCGATCTTCTGATTTTCTTCCATGCTTGCCACAACACATTCCAAACTTCTAAATAGCTATTTATTTATGCCTGGGCGCAATGGTAATTTATTTAGTACATTTAATAGTGTTTTCCGTGATGGCATGCTGAATATTTTTGATAATAATCGGAACACTTTGGGACCCGCTTTCAGTAAGGTTAGAGCAAATATTTTTTCATCCAATGAAAATCGTCGACCGTGGGGTGGTTGCTTCTGGGTTCTAGCTTGTTGGAGTATAAACATTTCCGTAGTTTTATTCACAGTTTCGAAAAATTTTAGATGTGTGGGCGAGTTTATCATTACCTCTGCATTACGTAGCCTTGTTTTAAAATCGTTAATTTTAGACTGCATTTTAGCTGTTTTGACTATTTCACGTATCTGCATACTGTACAGTTTTTTACACCGTGGTGACAAGAACTTGGTTCGAGTTACATTAATTTGTTCTAAAATGCTTCGCCGTTTTTTAATACCTGTAAGAGTTTGGTTAAATTTATGATCCACATTTTACTTTAGAAATACTTACATAATGGTAATGATTTAATCTGTTGTGGATGTGAGGATGGTATATTTTCCAGTGACTGTTGCAATGGTAATGGGCAATCCAAATTAGCAATTTTCAAGTTCTCAGGGATAGGTATAACTAAAAGTAGGTAGTTTGTATTAAAAATTTAAACAAGCATATCGCAATAGGTACCTTGCAAACTACGTGATGTTGATGGTTCATTTATAAAGCTGCAAACTTGTGAGGGATTTTCCGTAACGTGATCTTCCACTTGTGGAACTATGGACGCAACATCAGGTGCAACTGTAACATTAATAATTTAAAATAGACACCACATTATTTCAGTTTTTGATCATACCTGGTAAATTTAAGCTTGGGACAGCATCTTCCGTTATACCTTTTCTTGTCCCATATAACAAGTATTCTTGAGAGAAATGTTGGCTACATACAAAACAACTTCGACGTATGTACGCTGCATTATAGTTCGCTAATTTAGGTGACTGGATAGCATGCAACCATTGTTGAAGTAAACCTTCTTGTTTCGGAAAACGGTGACGTTTACTCACTTTGTCGTTACAGCCTGGTACAGAACATTTGTTCTTATATTTAATGGTTGGAAGATCCATAATACTAGAAAATGTTATCGATATAGTTTTGATTTTTACAATTTGTGAAATGTTTAGGTGAAAAGGCTTACTTAATTAGGCAACTTACCAAGCTATAGTCTTTAACTAAACACGTGTAATATATTAATGTACATAAAAGTTCTTGCTAAATAACTAAAGCACTATTCTACGAAAAGGTCCTATATACAACAAAAAAGTGAATTTGTACACTCCGAAAGACGTTGCCGAACGAAGTAAACTATAACTACACGCGGATCGGAACTAAGAAAGCAATCTTAAGTTAAGATGATAGAACAAACATTTGCAAAAATAGAGAGAAAATCACACACGATGGAATAACACGATCAACGTAACCAATGGTTTGTTTATGTCAACCCACGCCGCGTGGGCACGCCGAACTTTACGCATGTCAATTTCATACTTATGCGAACAGCGCCATACCGTGTCAATAGGGGAAATCACTAGCCTGTGGCTAAACCTCAAAAACTCTTTCCCAGTTGCTCCCATATGAGTTTCCCATCTAAAGGTGTTTTATTTATGCTGCTAATAGTAAAGCAACTCTCTCCTAAGACTATTGCTGCTACTAGTGTAATCTTGGATACCTATTGTTGGTAATAGTATAGGTGGACGTCGCTCCGGTAACGTCAAAGAAGAAGGAACGCAAACATAGGAAGTTTTCTTGTTTAAAAATGTTTCATGTTATATTCATTTGTTCATTGTTATAATAATTATTAGTGGATTGTTACAAGAATTGCCAAACCCGGATTTTATGCATTTTCTAGCAAATTAAGAGATATAAATTCACATTGGATCTCGCTTACACTTACACTTGCCGAAGTGGCGGTAAACTTCCGATTATCATTACTATAATAGTCGGTGGTAGTACATGGAACATGGTCTTTTCGGCGTTTACTTAACATATGGAGTTCTTGGACATTTTCAATTTTGCAGACAAGTAGCTGAGCGCGCCGTATTTTTATTTTTCAGGCAAAAAAACAAAGTCCACATTTCAAAAAAAGAGCTTGATCACTTTGAAGTGGCTGTGAGGATCTGTGAACGACATTTCACTGATTTAATCAATCCAGTAAATAGTAATTTATTACCACACAATCATTCATAAATGGCCAATTTAAGCTTGGAATTAGTTGAGCAGTCTGCTCCGTGCTATTGCATTAGGTCCTTTTTTAAATTAGATTGAGCAATGAACTCTAGATCTACACTTCCAAAGTAATTCGCGAAACAAACGAGTGTCATCAATAAACGAATCCGCAAAATAACACAAAAGCAAAGTATATCTTGTTTATTCAGTTATTGTTTGGAAAGTTTGGCATTTCTCATATTTCAAACCCGATTTCCGAATCCCACAGAGACTTCGGTGGACTCGACTCCCAATCCGAACTCAGAGTTGTACATTCTTTGAACATTTCGAGCGCTTTCAAATGTACAAAATTAAAACCCTCAAAAATGGAATAATGATCAAAATTCATTCGGCCACGATCAAGTTCTCGTCGCTTGGCGGTTCATTAAAAAATTCTTGGGCGAATATTTTCATACTCCCTGGTTACATTTAAGTCAGGATCTTTTGAAAATTAATTTCGCAAATTATCCTCTTCCGATCAATCACTTTATGTAAGCGTTACGGTAATGGAAAGTTTGATAAATTACGTTCTTTAAAGATAAAATTCTGATATTTAGTTTGGCGCGTAAAAGCTGTCGATATATTTTAATTATTAATGACCTGCTAAAATATAAATTACGTATTATGTACGGAGAAAGCCGGAAACTCCCTTTTTTGTGTACAATGAATTACTTATTCAGCACGTCACTGCGACGTTCTAATTAAAAATAATAAGCCTTCTCGTCAACTGTGTTTATATTTCACCTCTGAAACATTTAAACGGCTTTCAGTTTAAGACATCTAAACTTTGTCTGAAAGCTCGGACCGATTTTAACACGAAACTTTCCACTCTCCGTTCGCAAACGCTCGAAACCCGAAAAAGTGCGACAAACTAGCGAGAGGTTTGGTAAGAACCGCACCCGAAACCTCATTTTACTTCTGCGATTGCTCCCGAAGGAAAGGTTCACAATAGAAATTTCAACACTAAAAGGCGTAGCAATTCAGGTAGGTATGTGGACAGAGCATCGGGTTGACAGCATATATATAAGAGAAGTATATATATGGTTGACAGGATCAATTGTAACCCAACTACTCCGTTGAGAAATTGAGCGACACTAAATTTAGCAAAGCGTTGACAGTTTAAGCTACTTTTTTATTTGCACCTTTCATTTTAATAAAAAACAGCTTAGGGTTTCGGTAATAATTTACATCCATTAATATTCTTATGCTATCATTTTTCTTACAAACTCCTTTCGTTCCGTTATTCACGTTATGAAAATTGCCAAAATATACGTTATTTTACAATGGGATATGGGCAAATGTAATAAACATACATATATTTGTTTCTTGATGCCGTGAAAAATTAAATAGGCATTAGCGGATTATAATTTAATTTAAAATAAGTAATTATACAAATTATAGTCATTAAATCATGTGAGCAGACGAAAGCGGCGGCAGTCGGTGGCAATCTGGGTGTTTTTTCGGGGGGAATGGACAGACTCGAGCGCCACCAAAAGTACGGCCTCGCCCCTGGTCAAAGTCGGCGGTGGCAGCGGATCGGTCTCGGAAGCCTCGGGCAAACTCAAACAGAGTAAACGGCGGCTCCAGGAATTCTAAAGGGCGGCGGCTACTGGTGAATGCTAAAACAAAATTAAAGCACACAGCAAGCGGGTACAGTAAATAATCGAATTCGGTAGCGGTATTTACGGAAACGCAAATGCAGGAAAGCGGAAAAATTCCCCCACCTCCCTTACAATTAATGGAACAAAGTATAAAAAGCCTACCTTGCAATTAACGGAGCGGTAAAAATCACCGTGGAAGAAAAAGAAAGCTATAGATTCGGTGCGGTAAACTTAATGTAAAAGCAAACATTAAATTGAATGCAAAATAAATTTACAGAAAAGCTCAAAGTTACGGTAACGTAAGAGACGTCACTTGCGAAAATGCAAAAGGTAAAATATTCCACCTAACGTTTAACTTATAAAAACTTTCCAAAATACGAAGAGAGAACGTAGAAAATTGCTCTTAAAATTCAATTAATTAAAAGCGCTTCTTTTGAGACTCCTCACGACTTAATCTATCTATCTAGATTCTGTTAATTTATCTAGATACTGTTAATTGCACTTACTTAATTGACCGAATTAAAATTTCTAAAATTGGTAATTTAATCAACACCTGTTGCTATTTGGCGGGGTCGGCGATATCAAGCTAATAAGGCCCCTAAATTGCACGGTGTCAACTGGTTTCAAGCTTGTTTTCAATACCATTGGAAACCAATATCATCTAGTAATTATTGACGGGCTGAAATTCTAAAATATTAATTCGCCTTCGTCTTCTAAATGACAAAAGCTTTCGGGCACAACAAAAATAATTGAAGTATTTTGACGGGAACAGTTGCAAACGGAGGATTAACTGCAGCTCTTGTTTACGGTAGCGGCAGCTGAAACACAACTCTGGAAATTGAAACTACTTTTATCCTCTATCTTCAATTTCACAACTTCACTCAATCACTAGCATATAAAAACCATCCAATCAAAATCCACCAGATTTCATAATGACGTTGATCAATGAGTAATTCCGATTCTAGTGTTTGGGTTACGTAAAAGTTATTAAGATTGTGACTGGCGCTGATCCAGTAGCCATACTAATAATTAATGCCGAAAAAAGGTTAAACTCCAGTTAAACCATACACTGCTATTCATCATTGAATTCAGAATAAAAAGGGATATAAAGAATTGGTTTTGTATAGGTCAAAACGCCAGAAAAAAAGCAGAAAGATCGACGGTTTAAATACGGTACGGTGGCCAAAGTAAATTATCGGAAATTACGGTTCTTACAACGTAATTTGAAAGATCAAAAAGGCAAAAGATTTCTTACGTTTCGGCTAAACCCCCAAAAGCAAAAGATCCCCTGGAATTTAAGCGTTTACCTTATATACAATTCGACTATACCGCGGAAGGAACGTAGGGAATTCCAAGTCAGCCGGCGTATTATACCTATCCAAAAATTACTTTACTTCTTTAATTTACAGCCTGCTGACGTGTTAAAAATCTGTAATTGGTCCCAAAATACAAATCAATTAAGAGCGCTCCTTTTGATACCCCACACGACTATGTGGAATGACGTTTACTGCAACACATTTATTTAGTTAATTGTAATTACTTAATTGACCGGATATAAATTCCTAAAATAGGTAGCCCAATTAACCCCTATTGTTAACTTGAAGTGGGGATCCACCGGTGGGGTTAACCTGATAACGGCACAAACATAGATGATCTTACAGTTCCAATACCCTTTTTACTTTACCATAGGAAACAAAGACCCGTTAATAATGCCTTAACGTGACTCTTTTTCTAAATGACAAAAGCTTTCGGACACAACAATTAGGTCAATTAGAATATCTCCACGGGCACGGTTGCAAAACGAATACATACAATACAAAACTTGCGTGCGTGAACAATTAAAAATAATGAAACACACAAAGCTCAATCCGTTGTCTCCTACAGCAAATAAGTAAATTCAGAAACTACGGGTTCTTGGTAACGAAGCGGCCAACTATTCGTCTATATACAGGGTGATCAACGTAAGGCATTCAAGGCGGGAAACTGATGCTTCGTCGTTACAAGAGGTAACGAATTCATGGTTTTTTTTCGAGTAGGTCACCCTTTGAAATAAAAACAAAGGTATTTTTTTCAACTCCCCAACAATAGTATATTAAGAAACAAGTGTATGATCAATTATACACGCGTTTCTGATAGTATGTTTTATTATACCTGCAATATAATTTAAAAGTAAAGGTAATAAAGTAAAAAAATACTCACGTTTATGCTCGAATACATTTCTGATTAAGTTGAAGTTTTCTTATAAGAATCATCGTCTTTGTAAATAAAATGACTTCGGTTGAAAACGGTAACACACCGTTGATGCAGTGGTTTGTTACAGAAGCAGAAGGAAAGTTTGTACCTGAAAATCCAAATTAAAAAGCTTATATTATAATATGAAAAGGTGTTGGCGTGGATAAATGAGAATAATGTTGCAAACAAAATCTTAAATGCATTCATAATGCTTGAGTATATAATAAATGTTAAAGATAGACATTTAAATCTTCTACCTTTGGTGTATTCATACAAAAGGTACGCTTAAACATTGGAACAGATTTGGCAGCATACCCCAAATCACATGCGTTTGTGAAAGCTTCCAACAAAGAATAGACGCCTTTTGAATTTTCGAAAAGCGATCTGAGAAGATTTTTTATTTGAGACCCAGATAGTATCATACGTCATATTTGAATTAACGTTACTTTGCAACCTTTAAAGCTTAGCGTGCTTTAATTGCTCGATTCCACGACTTCATTTGGAATAGTACACGTAAATAAAACATGAGATCGGTTTTAAAAGCATAGCTTCTTTATAAATCAATTTCGTCGTTAAGAAAACAGTAACATCGCAATTGGTTTCTTTACTATTCAAATTTAGGATTATTATTATTTTTTTTTAATTTTATTTGCGCATCAACCGCGTAGGGTTATTTGCGCTGATATTATGCTTCTGTAAAGTAATGACTATAATGGATTATTTGTTTCTGTAGTTATCCCTTATTTGACTATAAGAGCAACTATGCAGGAGCAGGAAATAGCACAACTAAATACTTAAGTATAAAAATAAACGAAAGCCTAATAAATCAAATCTGAACTGTCACAAATGAATTAACAAAACAAATTGATAACGAAAATTGAGATAAAAACTTTCCTATCCTTAAAATTCCAGGAGTTAACCTTTTTTACACAATAAGCAAACACCTTGGAGACAGACTAGATACGCAAAATCATTTTTGTTTATCCGTAAGAAATCCCACTGTCAATTAAATGAATTGAAATAAGCATTTGATTAGTAATAAAGCGACCCGTATTCACTTCAAGTGCCTGGACCTCAACTACAACGTACAAACTGGCATTGTTTGCACTGCAGTACCTATTTATTTAAATATATTAAAAAAAATACCTTAGTAAAATATTTACAAAATCAAACGAAGAAACACAATTCTATTTTTTTTCATTTTAACAATAATTATTACATACTTTAATTTACGATCTGATGTCGAGTAACTTTGTCAAAATCAAAATCGCCATAAATGACGGTAACGATATTGGTGTGAAATATTTCAAAAGAAATATTTAAATAAGACCCATGTTCAAGACAACAATTTTTTAATTGTACATATCTAAATTAAAATTCTAAACAAATATCTCTTTTGATTAACACCGAAATTGATAAACAATTTACTTATTCGTCGTCTAGGGTTTTTCAATCCCGTTTTGACCGTTAAAAGGACCTGAATTTAGTTTGTACCGGATGACCCAATAAGACTGTTCCTCGGGCATATCTCGGGAACCGTTCGTCGTATGACTTAGGGTAAAAAAATTATTGGGTAAATCGGTTATGAAAAATCGCTGGAAAATATTTTCTAGTTCTAAAAATGACCACCAGAGGGCGTAACTGCCATCTTAAATTTTAAAATTGCATTTTCTTTAAATTTTGCATAATAAACTAAACATTCTTTTTTCACATTTTTAAAGAGAACCCGTTTATCTATCATTTCAAAAACAAAGATGCCGTAGGGCGTTCAATTGTTTTTGCAATAACCTGCTTTAACTTCTTAACCGTTTGACCGATTTTAACAAATTTGGCATGGTTGAAAAGAGCATTCCTTGGGCAATAAGAATCAACTATCAAATATAGTTAATTTAGTTGAATCCTTCTCCGCCAGGGGGCTAGTTTTGACACTATGATCCAAAATTCTAAAAAAATCAAAAAAATCAAATAGAATGATATGACTTTTTCTTTATGAAAAAGTAGCCAAATAACACCCAAAGAGGCTAGTGAAAACCGTTTTTCAAAATTTTGTTCCTAACTTCAAATAATGGGAAACTATTAATTAATTAATTAATAAAAATGCTTAAATTGTATCTCATTTGACGTATTTCCGGTATTTGCCGATGGGGCGAAAGATTGTATGGAAAAGGACTGTACACTTTTAGGTAGGCCTTGGAAAATTAAACAATTGAAACACGATGCATTATAAAATAATAACAACCGTAATTGTAAATTATTCTGCTGTGTTTTCATTCGGAAAGTGCAGTTTTTGAATCTTTGTAATCTTTTCTAAAATGCCGATTTTTAACCAAGAAGCATTTAATATGCTGGCGGCGACGGTTCGTGGTCGATTCGGATAAATGTGGGCAGCGATGGTTGATTCTCATTGGCCAAGGAATGCTCTTTTCAACCATACCAAATTTGTTAAAATCGATCAAACGGTTAAGAAGTTAAAGCAGGTTATTACAAAAACAATTGAACTCCCCACACCATCTTTGTTTTTGAAATATCTGAGTTTTTGTTTTTACGAAAATGATAGATAAATTCGTTCTCTTTAAAAATGTGAAAAATTTTTTGTAGCTTATTATGCGAAATTGAAAGAAAATGCAATTTTAAAATGTAAGATGGCAGTTACGCCCTCTGTTGGTCAATTTTAGAACTTGAAAATATTTTCCAGCGATTCTTCATGACCGATTTACCCAATAATAATAATTTACCAAGGAACAGTCTTATTGGGGCACCCGGTACGGTTAAATTAGTTGCGATCTTCATATACTTTTACTCATAAATTTACCCATCTTGTCAAAATGAAAGAAGTTATTTTTCTACATATTGTTTTCTTATTCTGTAACTTTTAGAAGTATCCAATTGGTTTCAGTGCCGTTTCACTTCAAAACTTGGCGAATTACTTAGAACTCGCTGAACTGTACAGAAAGTAGGAAACACACCACTTCAGATGGCAAATTCGTTAATACAGTTGGGGAATATGCGCGTACTCAGAACAAATTATAGAATGGAAAATATGCTGTGCGCTTGGTATTGGATTATTGGTAAAGCGGAAAAAATAATACCTTGACACAAACAATTTATTAATCAATACGTAACGACACGGCGCAAGACAAAGAAATACGTATATATGTTTAATTGATTTATCATTCTCCTAAAGGTCAAATACATTAATGTTTTACTTTTATTGAATTGCCTGTCGATGACTTGTTTAACATTTAACTCTCAGTTTCCAGCCCACGTTCTCTTAAAATTATGAAGGCAAATTAAACTTAATCTAATCTTGAACATTTGTTTTAATGAGAAAAGTCATTGTAGAGATCATTTTAAAGAAGCAAAATAGCTTGTACATTATAAGTTACGTGCAGCTCTTTAATTAATAATTATAATTTTTAATTCATGATATATTTTAATTAGATTTTGGTGGTTTTTAAGAGTTGAATTTCTGTAGAGTTGATTGTTGATTTATTGTCTTTTCAAGGCAATAGTTCCTGAATGAATTTGTCGCGTGCGAAAGTTGGCTGCGCCAGTCTAGCGGGAGATAAGATAATTAATGGGTTATACGTGTCCTTTTCTGTGGAGTTAGATCCGCTTCGCGACGCAGTATGGGAACTGATCAATCAGGGTTTTAAAATGACGTGGTTTCTGGTTAATGGCTTGGGATTGGTAAGGGTGAGACGAATTTTATTCTGTGTAAATTTGCTGCAAAACCTACGTCATAAGTCCAACTGGTGCAAACTTGCCGGGTCAGTTTATAAAATTATGAAAAGAGCAAGTTTTTTATTGATCGAACCGTCACTCTAAACCCTAATTTACGCACACCGAAAAAGTGCATTTGTGCCTTTACAATTTTTCAATAGTTCTAAATAACAATTCGCACGTATACCCATTTTACGAACAGTTTATGACATGGAATTTATTTCACGATAATTTCTTCTGAACTAGGTCCCAGAACACCCGGTTAATTCAGCTGCTAACTAGCCTTTTTTTTCTCCATATTCCTGTTGAGTTAAATATTCCTTTCATAATATTTCATGCACGACGCATTTTAATTCCATCCACAATACTTGCGTACTAATGGTTTCTCGCGGTTTTTCGAATTAACTACCGATGGACGGTTTGGTGCTACGCTTTCTCCGATTTGAACTCAACCGAGGCTCAAAACACGAATTGACTCGACCTGAGCTCTATGACGGCCCAGAACGAATTAATTAATTTGCTCTATCTTAGAGCCAACAGGTCCCCTCTACACATTCAGTCAAATTGGCAGCTTCCCAACGTTCTTCAAAATAATAATAAAATGTTTAAGTTCAACGAAGATTTAAATTATAAATCTAAAAAAATTTTACACTTAACGAGCACGGCGTATATTGTTATACCGCAACAATTAGTTGGGGGAAAACTAGAAACAGCACTAATTACTCAGCCTGAGGAATTTTGGGAAGTTTCCAATGTAAAAGTACACGCCCTTAGTTCAATGCCTTTACAACAACGTAGTTGGTTTATAGACTGAGAAATAAATAGAGTGGACATCAGTTATTATCGTGATCAATAACAATGTCATGCGACTCATTATTATTATTAGCTACAGTAATAAATTATACAACGGTAGCATTGTGTACACAGGTACTATGACATATCGTTGCTAAGTGAACTTTTTTTTTACAAAATCTGAATTAAGAGCCTTAGTCGAAAAGCAATAATGAACGAGTAATCAAATTAAGGGTTGCAACGCTAACTACATTAGCAGCGCTCGTACTTTTGAACAGTTTACAGTTGCGGCGTAGACATAGAGTCTCGTTAACCCCTTTCTGTTAATTGTGGCAGTTTGCGCGAGTGAGTGTTGGCACATGTAAAACGGTGGCGGACCTATGGCAGATTTTAATAAGTCGGAAGTTAACCAGAAGTCATCAGCGACGTCAACCATTACAATGTACCGAAGCGGTAATTATTATACCATTGTTTACTTACGCAAAATTTCACTTCACCCTCTGAAAGCTGTTCAAAACCGAAATCCTCTCGCTGAATAAGATCGCGTTTAAATATTCATCAAAATTTGTTTATTTTAAAATCCGAAACAACTCACCGAACCCATTTTTAGAGAGAATAATGACTTCTATAATGAAAGGGCGGAGCGCACTTTGCGTAATAGCTTCATAAATTACACATACGTTACTTTACAAGCTACAATTCCTATGGTAATATGGAATCATTACTAAGGTCCCCAATCAGTAACATAGGATTCCTAACATGAACTCTCTACATGTACAGGGGTCCTAGATCCAGTGGAAGTGCATAGGTAATTTTGTTATTATTGGAGATAAAGATTACGTTTGCTGTGCAGTTTTGTGTACTGGTTAAAATTCCATTTCAACAATTCATTCTTAGAATGACACGATAACCCGTGTACAATTGTGTTTTGGAATATCAGCGCTTTCTTTACACTGTACACTTTACACTTTACGCTTTACACTTTACACTTCACACTTTACGCTTTACGCTTTACGCTTTACGCTTTACGCTTTACACTTTACACTTTACACTTTACACTTTACATTTTACACTTTACACTTCACACTTTATGGCTTTTGAATTTGTGCTCCGCTGTGAGCCTTTTACCTTTGGAAATGGAAATTGTTTCCTGTATTTGCATACCTCGGCAATACTTTGTTAAAATTTTTATCAAAGGATAAAAGGAGGGAAAATAACACCACAATATGAATCTATTTATTAATGAAAGTATTCCTATGCTCTTAATTGCCCTGAGAAAGACACAACTTTGTGAGAAAATGCATAAATGATAAACAATCGTTCATCCTCCAAATAACTTTGATCATCTATCTATCTAAAAGTGCAAAAGTGTCCTTGTGTGTCCGCTCTCTCTACGTAGATCGGAATTTTCTCTTTGTAAGTTATCCCTGCTGATTTCTTTCTACGACGTGTTACTAATGCATAGTTGCCGTACAATGAAATTCTCTCTAGGCGTCGGTCGCGTGGAAACGACGTACGGTTGATCCGCGGTTTTCCGAGTGATCTAATCCCTTCGTCAACCGGAAATCCCTTCTACAGTTGTGTGCTAAATATACCAATTAATGTTCCCTTCGGAAAGTAATCGGATGACTGCTAAATCCTTTTGGAACACAATGTAGATCTTGCGCACACTGACGCAAGTTCAAATGCCGCGGTGGGTCGTTGCCGCTTTCTTAATGCGTGCCATGCAAATTTACCAGTTGTAAGATAAGGACGGAAAATGCCGAATGGATAGTAAGACCTTGCTTATAAATAGAGACCCGAGTTTTCGGACTGGAACGAACTTCCCTCTCGTTCAGAGTTTAATCACTAAACAACTCAAAGGCATCTGCCCATCTAGCTCAATTAAACACAGGTACGAGTACTAACAAAATTTTAAGAAATGGTTATAATTTTTCCAGAGCACTATGAAAAATCTCGATAAGACTTAATTTTATTAATCCGAGAAAGCCCAACAACCTTGATCAACTCCACAATTCCAATGAATTATATTACAAACGTTTATTTAAATACCTGGCGTAACCCTGGGTATCAACAGAAAAATTTAGCAAGAGAACTCTTATTTGGGTCCTAATTTGGGCTCGATCAAAGAAAACATAGAACGTTTAAAGATGCAACAAATTTATTAGACAAAATCAATCAATAAGCTGAAAGAAAGAGAGGCACTCAAGGCCAGAGTACACACACCACGCAATAAGCGATCGATTGAAGCAATTAATTTTAATTACCTTAAAGTGTTAATAATCCAAAATGTCCAGTCGTAACTGCGATTTCAACAAACAAAACTCACGTACACATAAACCAACTGATGGAACTTCTGGAGCTTGGCTTCTTTACTTGCACTTAAATTTCGATTTAGACAACACTGGGTTCTTTGTACTTACATACAGGGTGACAATTTGAAAACTTACCACCCCCCATATCTTAGTAAATAAACGAGATATTTAAAAAAATCAAAATCCGTTTCGGTAATTCGGAGGGGGAATCACAATGACATAGTTGGCGACGCACCCCCCCACACCCCCTGCGCCCTAGCCACCCCAACTTTTAAATCTTAAACAGTGACACTCCATGTGTGATACGTCGTTGGAAAGCTCTGAAAAAATGCTTTCCAACCATACCAAATAGCATTACATTTAGGTTAGTAATTATCGTGCAAATCAAAAAATAAACATGGAAAATCGTATTTAACTTGAACTTCCAAAGCCGACTCGACAGCAACTCATTTTTGATCGCCAGTTATAATCTATTCTCAAACTCTTGTCGAACCTTTCCAATGTTGGTTTTGCAATATTTCGACATTCTTGAATTATTCTCTGTCTTAGTTCGTCTATGTTCGCCGGTTGCGTTTTAAATACGACAGATTTCAAATGTATCATATTAGTTTATTTTTTGATTTGCACGATAATTATTAACCTAAATGTAATGCTATTTGGTATGGCTGGAAAGCATTTTTTCAGAGCTTTCCAACGACGTATCACACATGGGGGGGGTCACTATTTAAGATTTAAAAGTTGGGGTGGCTGGGGCGCAGGGGGTTGGAGGGGGTTGGAGGGGGTGCGTCGCCAACTATGTCATTGTGATTCATTTTCATTTACTAAGATATGGGGGGTGGTAAGTTTTCACATTGTCACCCTGTATGTAAAATTGACTCTTTGATGGTGGAAAAACTCCCTTTAACTGGCACTGGGAAAGGCATCACATAAATAAGCGATAAACGCACGATATAGCAACGACCGTAGATAACATGAGATAAACATCACCAAAGCATTTCGGGCAATTAAAAAAGGCACTGAATGTGATTAAATCAATTAGTAAAACGTTAAGGCTTTCGAAATAAATAATCAATGCGATCACCAAAGTGCTTATAGATATTAATTTGAACTTGCCCATTTAAGGCTTGGGTTTCGTCGTAAATATACAAACTCAATTTGAAGAAGTTCGGGTGATCAGAGTTACTCAAGGTGTTATTGGTTAAATTAACGATTAAGTTTTTATGTAGGTATGTGCTATTTATGAGGCGCAAAAAGTATTTGACATTTAAATATTATCTTTCTAGCTTTAGTCAAAGTAATAACGGTAAGAGCTGTTTATTCCAATTTTATTTGTGGAAACATAATAATTTATACAAAGAATTTCAAGCAATATACTGCTGTGTAACACAAAAGCACAAAATGCGGAAAATGTAGCGCAAAATTTCAGAGCGACTATTTATTAAAATAAATGAGCTGTCGCCCCTCTGTTCGTCACTGAAAATGACTTCAAAAGGTCATAATAACTAGATTTTAAAACAAGATTTAATTGGTTTATTTTCACAATCACCTTCTAAATTTATTATTTTACAAATAACTCGGCTTGCCCAAATTAACAAAAATTATAAATCCATATCCAAATTTGTAAAAGGTCATAAATATTACCCTCTAATATTCCCCAACCTAATACTCACTGTAAGAGATCTTCCTACTGTCGGTTACGTTGGTTAATAATTTGCAGCACAAAGCGATTTCTGGTCGACTTTATTACACTCACAAGCTTCAAAATAATACACTTATAATTTCAATAATTCTAATGCCGTAAAATAGTCCGAAACCTCTATGCTGCCAAAAAGGAGAATGTCTGAGAATCTCCTTTTCTTCTTACGTCCTTATATCAAATATAACCTCGCGTAATCGTTAACAATTTACATAAACATTTTTTTTTAAATGCATGAGATGCATCTTTAAAAGAAAATGTTATCAATTAACTGATAATACACTTGCCCGACTCTGGAAACGGCTTTAATCCGACGAGATGTACTCCTCCAAAGGGCACAAGAATTATTTCCTACGTAATACCATTTTAAAAAATGGTCCTTCGAGCCGGATCATTTTTAATGTGAAATACTTTTTGATCGCACATTAAAAGAGTGAGGATGGTAATGCGATCCTATTGCACGGTGCATCCAGAATAATTTTAAAATGGGGAGTGCAACAACGGGACCCCACAGGACCGACTCTATTTGCTACTGTCAATGGTTTTTTCTGTTTTTCCACTGTAATCAGCTGTATCTATTAAAATAACGAAGCAATAGTGCCGACTTAAGTTTGAAAGCCCTGTATTTACAAAAAAAAATCTTATTTACAACTTTGAAATCATACACTCGGCTTGTCCAAATTACATGAAACTCTAAATGTACTGGGTTTGTAAACACGTGTGAAAGTTTAAATGCAAACACCTTAAATCTAGAATTATAACGACAATAAAAAAAACAATGTTACTTACTTTTACATACTAAACTTATATGTTCTTTTAAAATGTCGAATTTTACCTGTACAACGCTAACACTTTAAATAGTCATAAAATACAGGGTGTTTTTTGGGAGCTTTAGTGAAACGTTTCTGGAAAAGTAAAATAGGTAAGTTTTTGAAAATTTGTACCTACGTAGGAGTTACTCTGAAGGCCGAATCGATGTAAAACATTTTCAAAATGGTCGCACTTCCCGGAAACACCGGAAGTAAATAGTAACTTCGTTATTTTAAATGGCAGCCCCTTTTTTTAAGTGCACTAAAAGAAAGCCCTATTCATTTTCTATTCACTGATAAAAATGGGTTGCCATGACTACAACCGTTTTCAAGTAATCAATTATCAAGGTACGATCTGCATCCGCCATTTTTTTTTCTTAAAGTCAAAATAACTTAAAAACCATAAATGGCAGATATAAACATGTGGGCATCAAAAGAACTGAAATTTCACGTAGAATCCAAAAAAGTAATAAAAAAATAGGGGTCCCGTTTAAAATAACGAAGTTACTATCTACTTCCGGTGTTTCCGGAAATTTTTAAAATATTTTACATCGATTCGGCTTTCAGTTCGGCTCCCAAGTACAAATTTTCAAAAACCTACCTATTTTACTTTCCCAGAAACGCTTAACTAAA